TTCAACTGTTAATTGCACAAGGGAGGGGGATCAAGGTCATCGTTCAAGAAAAGTTGCGCGAGTAATAAAACGTGCGATGGGAAGATCTCCTGGATATTCGAACGATCCGTGCAGATGACGTCATCAGCGCCTGCGACTTGTCGAGTCGGCCTTTCCGCTACTTCTGTTGCGAGGTTATGTGAAGCGCGTGGACCGAGCGTAAATGCGTCCAACTTAATTATGTTGATCCAGAATTATCCTAACTTGTACCACATTATATTAAGTTATATTTTATGTATTACCTAACACTCGAAAGTATAATTTAGTTGGTTAGCTAAACTATCTGTATCAAAGAGTACCATTTGTCAAATTTCAAATACTAGATATTTAGAAGATGTTGTGCAGTATTAGGGAAATTTGGTCGTATATTTGAGCAAGGCTAATAAATTATATAATATTTAGGAATCATACATTAGTTCATTAATCAATGTAAATTATTTGTGTTTGTCTTTTGTGCATAAATTATTGTGTCTTATATTTGCCAATTATTTTCGTACGTTTCTAAATTAATAATGCAATTATAATTCTGTGGCTTAGTTGAATTTAATTGTATGCAACTACAATATTTGTAAAATATTTACTTATAAAGTGTATTTTTCAAAGTATTCAAATTAGCTTCAAATTTATCGTGAGGCATCCCAAAGTACTGAAATAATTTTTCATTTTCTTCCAGGTAGGGATACAACGCGTGAAAGTCCCTTTTTGACTTTCTCGTTCTGTTACATGGAGACATGACACGGAGAAAGGAGCGAAATTGACTCAGAAACTGTCCGAAGTGTTCCTCTTGCCCCGGCCTAGTGCACGCACAACGCGAACCACACAAAAACTGCCATATCTACCTCGTGGGCGTATAGCATAAGATGTTTACCCGAAGATGCTATGTAATCACTTTGATCTATTTTGCATCTTACTGCTTTTCTGTAAACTATCAAACAAAAATATTCTACACAGAGTGGATGACCTTACTGCTTCAGCGCTCATGGTCGGCGCAATGCAGTCTAAAATATCTCTAGATTGCCTTGGTCGACGCAATCATGATTTTTTGCAGCAAAAACTTGAGAAGTGACTGATAATGGCTTGTTATTTGTATCAGATCTTATTTATATATTGTTGTCTTTTCGTTAATATGTATTTAAATTGTATTAGTGGTTAGAAAAATAACTTTCACAATGCCTTTGAATATTCATAATGCCTATAGTTCGACATATAACTGTAAAAGTAGAAGTGATCAAACCACAAATATACCATTTTTCAAGTTTACCGCCTTGTTTGTGATACGTTTGTTTGCTTCTCATTGCAATAACATTCACTTTCAGGCTTTATGCAAACTACATTAACATTTCAACAGCTTGTATTCTTATGACAATAACCGACGCAGGAAGCAACATACATTTAAAGTTTCTCAACCCGTTCTCCTAACATATTGTCATTTCGTATCGTATTGTTCAATGATTGGTTGTTGGTCGTGGAACATAGAGTAAGAGAATTTATTTCGCCGACGCCCACCCGGCCGTAACCAGCGCCAAATGGAATACTAGAATACTCCGGAGGGCGCAGCTTTGGCTGCAAATAACATGGCTTTAATTTACTGCAAAGATGGAGGCGCTTCAATCACTCTATGCAGTATATTCTAGCTCGTTGCTGTAAACCGAAGTTGTAAGCTCTGTGTGCTGTGTTTACATTGATGTCCGATTTTCCCATTTTAATATTCGAGACCTTAATACCTTTCGCTTTGGATCTAATAATGAGTTTCTTATAGATAATTATTTGCTTTAAGGTTTATTTGTTCATAACGCCGATGAATGCATATTAAGGAAGTGATTGTAGCATTGTTACATCTCGGTTACAACCCCCTCTACCCATCCCATCCCCACCCCTCCTCATCCCTTTCTCCAAACCGTCTCCTCCCCTGCAGTATCGGGCATTCAGTGGACGCGGGGCTATCTGTTCCTCTGCTGCGGTTTGCCACAGCTCGCAATGCAAGCGTTCCAGCTCACGTGCGTGGTGGCTGTGTGGGTTTTGTCTTGTTTGTGTGACTGTGCAGTAAGCTCCCAAGGTAATATTCTCTCTTATGCCGAAAAGTATTTTTAATTGACGCTATTTTTTCAAGAATGAAACAATTAACCCATTTTTCTCTTGAATGAATGTCAACTTTCCTTTTTCAGAATCGTGTGCTAAAGGTACTACTACTGACACTTTAGATTCGGTCACCTGCAACAAGAAATTTTCTGTCCTGCTCGAAACGGCTACTGAACACGAAAGAAGCGATGATACGTCCCCTACGCTTGAAGGTGCCGAACCCAATATTGCTTGGCCTGAACAGGTGAGATTTTTGGCTGCAAGAGCACTAAGAGTCTAGGTTAAATCAGTAAGTAGTAGGAATTTTATAGATTTGAGGGCAGCAACAAAGTAATTTACGCTCTTGTGCAAATACTGTATTTGTTTTCGCCCCGTGTTCTAATGTCGTGAATTTTTTATAGATTTTATTTAGTTTATACAGACTTTATTTACAATATACATACATATAGTTAAAATATATACCTAGAGGTTAACATCCATGACATTCATATTATTTTACTACAATCAGAAGTTACTTTTAAAGTTTTAAGTTCCATTAAATCTTTAGTTATGTCGTTTGTCATTCCTGTTGCAATGGTTTTTTCTATTGAAATGGAGAAATAGGATAAACTTCCCAGTTTCATAGTTTATTTTAAATTTGATAAGTTTGATTAGCATTAATAAGACAGATTTCTAGAACGGCCTTTCTGCACTTGTTAGTCACTGGCTGCGTAAGAAATATTTTAAATATTGTTACCCTAGGAAACGTTCCTACGAAATGATGGGCCTATATACAGGTATTGTTATTTTTGTTTTTGGAAAATTCCATCTTTTAAAAAAATCTAAAAAAATTCTAATTTCATTAGAAAAATCTATAGGGTATAGATCTTTCGGATATCCTTCATCTTGTCAGTAACTTAAACTAAAGATCCACAAAATGTTTTTAGGGACCATTTTTTAACTAGGTTTGCTACTTTCTTGAAATCATGTAAAAATTGAAACATGTTAAGATTTTCATACACTTCAAACCTTTCTTAAATCAATTTAATTGCAGTATCAATAGGGTAAAATATTGACTTGAAAATCTTCGGTGTCAGAAATGCTTTAATTGTAGTGTGGCAGCACCAAAATAAGTAAATTTTACTTTACTGATAACGTCTGAACTATTAGTCCAATTTTCAATCTGCAAACAGAATTTGACGTCTTTTTAAAATAAAATTTACGCTACGAAGCCATTTTTCCAAAAATCTAGCAAAATTCGAATTTGAAATTAGTTCTCAAACTTCCGAGAAAAAATTAAAAAATGTGGACTTATAGCGCGATTGCGACATGCTTCCTGAATCCAACGCCGTGAAAATCGTGCAATCGGACGAATAGGAGCGTCGTAAAGTGAAATTTAGGAATACACCTCGCCCCCCCCCCCTTTCCCCTTCTTCACCGTTGCGTCACCCACCCGTTTGTGGGCCCTCTGTCGGCGCGGCGGCACGGCCAGGCCACGCGGCGTGCGCCCAGCCCCGGCGGAGCAGGCGGGACTTGCCGAATACGCAAGCCAGACAGTCGGTTTATGCTTTCGTCACGTTGCATCACAATCTATTTATCGCTAAATTACAATGTAAACGTAAAACAGTTTGCTTACGGTACCAACTAGAAGTCATGTTCGGGCATGCTCGTCCCAGTGAGCTTACATCCAACATTCACCATGCTCAATACTCGGAATCGCATGTCATTTTGCGAGCTGGTAGAATACCGTGCCTAACCTATTATCAAAATTTTTAAGTTCTATGAAATATTAGAAATATTCTATAGCTCTTGACATTGGAGAAATTCTGCTTCAGGATTTTACGTGACAGCTATAAGCTAACCGATGCATCGGCAGGGCCAGGAACATTATGTGACGTCTGCCAACCGGTGTCAGATTTCGTAGCGCGTTCATTTATTCACGACAGATGGCAAATGTCATATCTGCTGGTTTCTTTTTAGTTTGAGGAGCAGTGTCCGCGTTCGTAATAATTCTACCGCAGTTAGGCCTAAACATCGCAAACCAATGATAGTTTATATTACAGTGTTATTTTAAATATCATATTTGATTACTTTGTGTTACATTGACGTTCGTCACTTTTTTTATATTTGACTCCATTCTTGTGAAAATGTTGTTTTTCATGCAAAAGTGGAGATGTATTTATTGATTCAATACCGAGGGAACATTTTCAGGGACCCATATTTTCGCAATAATTTTGTAATGATTATTCATGCACGTGTTTGACCTTCTAGTCTTTCCGAACCTGCAATGTGAACACCCTTTTCTGTCCCTCTCCATGCCCTCGGAGTAAACACAGCAGCGGCGCTGTGTGCAAGGAACGGTGGCAGGTACGGCGGTGCGCGGCCTTTTCGCCCAGTAACAGGCAGGTCATGAAATTCTCCCCAAAACACCACTTATAATGCTTCATAGCTCATAAAAATGAATATTTAGAAGTTTTGAAAGGTGGTGATCAAGCTGGTAAAATTTCATGTCAATCCAAATATCTAGCCTGGTGAGTGTTGCATTAACATGCACGTGAAGACGTGAAAACTATTCTGTGATTTAAAACTTAAGGACATTTTGCATTAGATCAGCTGGGACGATTATCCAATTGGGAGATTCAAGTTTAAAAAAATTGTAACAAAGCTCCCGATTGTATAACCACATTTTAACAAACCAAATGACTCGCAATTACATTTTAAACGAAGATTTGTTAAAGTCCGGCAAGTCATGCTTCCTGCAACATCACTCGCCGCTTCCTGTGCAGTGCATAGCAAGCCCAAAGAACCGCCTCTTAATTCTGACAACAAAGTAACTCGAATGTGTATAAGCTTCGCTTAATTAAAGAACAAAGAAACCTCCCTTTGAGCTTCTAAATATTTTTCTATGATACGTTCCTGCCAAAGAGCCCCCCTTCTGCTATTTGTCGGGCTTAGAATAGCGTATTGGCGGGTACTTGGAATTCCTCACGCGATCGTATCATTAGAGCAAGTTATGGCCCTTACGATAAAACAAATTAGTTAATGATAATGGAAAATTATGCCTACACTTAGTTTTTATATTTTCTTTTATATGTAGAATACTTTATAATAGTTGTTTAGAACCTGGGCAATGTTGCTTAAATTTTCATTTCAAACAATGAGAAGTATTGGATATTTTAATAAATTTAAAGAGAGAGTTCTTATATAACTAAAATTTCATCTAATATTTCTCAAAATTATATTAGAGATGCGTTACATACTAAAACAGCAAATGACGTCGTGAGACGTCTGGTGTCTTCAGTCATTAATTTAATCCCAAATGTCTCAGGACGCGGCAGTTGCAGACGAAGAAACAACAGTTCTTCCCGAGGCAACTAAACGCAGCAGATGCCCCGACAGACCCACAAGTGACAAATCCTCTACTGCTGTTAAGGTATGCACGGTGAACAATTCTTATTTTATTTGGAACTTGCTTTTAGCGTTACACACAATTTAGTTCCAACTTGATAAAATCAAAGAAAATGGAATTATTTTGTCTAATGCTATCGAAACGATTTGTCACTTTCTTGTATTGTTTTCAAAATGTTTATTTTTGAACATTTGATTCACAAAACAGATATAAACTATTTTTCCATGAAGTAAAAATACATTTTCTTGAAATTTTAATGGAATTTGAAAATGCAAACTATTTCGAATGTACTTTATACTTGGAGGGGGAGTTAGAGTAGGTAATATTGCTCCTGGAAGATTTTTTTTAAGAGAAATATTTTTTTAGAAGACCAAAATTATAATATGACCATTTTACAAGTTTATCACAACACACAATTAAATATTAACGCTCCTCATTGGAGCAATTGGGAATAGAATTGTCCCCTCCCATTCTTTAAATCAAAGAATGCAATGTTGAAACGCGAAGAGATTTACTACTGCATGCACTTGTAAAGTTCGTACTTTTACTGTAGTCAGGAGATTACAAAAGGACAAGAAATGTTTGTAGTGAAAATTTACTTTCACGCTATTCTTAACTCGGTTTCCTCAAATGCAGATTTCAATGAATGTTGCAAGAAACATTCTTTCCTATTAGCGACAGTCTGTGAAGTGGTATGAAACGTGTTAAGATCGTAGTTGTCTCTAAAAATAATTTTTTTCTGTTTGAGAGCAAATGTAGCAGTTATTGCCTCGTAACAGTAGAATGTGCACAAATTTTAAACATTCACGTTTATCGCGATGCCCTATTCGGCCTTATCTGGCTTTTCCACATTTTGTACAACCACGATTGTATACTTGACCAATCCTGGAGTCGAGGCCAAGCGGCTCTTATTGGCTTTGGCTCCGAAAGAGTTCCGACCGACTTCCCCTTCCGACCTTCGAATATTTTCCTCCTCGTTATTACAAGGGACGGAGCAATTTCCACGGTGTTACCTTGCGGAGGGGTTGAAGGAAGAGGAGAGGGCACGAAATGAGTGTTAATAGAAGTGTTTGGCAAGCGCGGGCTCGAAAACAAAAACGGACATTGCATTGGCAAGGCATGCGAACGCTGACGAACCACACGTCAGCCGGCTAAGGGGAGGTGCTATGACATAATTTTTTTGAATTCTTTACCGTGAA